GTGTGGGTGTGAGTCTGCTTTCTATGTGGAAGTGTGGTGGTAGCATCTTTTGTGGCTCTCGTGGGTCTGGTGTCATTCTTCATGTTAGGTACTCGTTTGTTAATGAGGGCGGGTTTCCAAATGGCTGGTAGGCAGGAGGTATCATCTCGTTTATTCATGCTATGTGGGCGTTTTTCTATCTCTATGGCTTCTCTGATTATTCTGTTGTTGAAGTGTTCAGTTTTGGCGATAGTTCTGGTATTTTTAAAGTCAATCTCATGTCATGTGACTTTGAGGTGTTGGACCAGGGAAGAGGCCGGTTCTTCTTCTTTGATTGAGTTCTTGTGTTCTTCAATGCATGCACTTATTCTTCTATTGGTTTGTCCGATGTATGTGGTGGGGCAGGCGGTGCATGGGATTTCGTATACTCCTTGGTTTTCTAATTTGATTCTGTCTTTAGGGTTTCTTAGGATGGTGGATATTTTTCTGTTTGTGCAGTTTGCTGTCTTAATGTTGTGTTTGTGGAGGATCTTGCTGATTTTGTCTGTAGTGCCTTTTATATATGGGAGGATGGCTTTGCCGTTCTCTTGTTCTCTGTCTTGGATTTTGGTTGGGGTTTCTTTTTGGATTAGGTGGGTAATCTTCTTTCTTTTGAATCCATTGGCTGTTAGTATGTTATTAGTGAGAGTGTGTAGTTTGGTTTTTAGGTGTTGTTCGTTGGCTAAGCATTTTGTTCTGGAGATGAGTGTCTCGGCTACGGAATTGATCTGTGCTAGGTGGTGGTGTGAGAGTGCGTGTAGATAGCGGCTTGTATGTGTTTTCTTCTGGTAGATGGTGTGTCCTAGGGAGCCATTGGATTTTTTGTATACTAAGACATCTAGGAAGGGAAGTTAATTGTTAGCTTCTGTTTCCATGGTGAATTGTATTTTGGGGTGTAGGCTGTTGAGGCCACACGGGAGAGAAAAACTGAACAACTTCCTCACCTCAACAGCCTACACCCCAAAATACAATTCACCAGTGTATGTGTATATATGTGTATGTGTATGTGTATATATGTATGAAACAAACATTAGCATTTCCAGCCTACAAGCAGGAGATCTATCTTTCATCTGTCTGTCTGTCTGTCTATCCATCCATCCATCCATCCATCCATCCATCCTGCTTGTAGGCTCGAAATGCTAATATTCATTTCATTAAATGTACTCTGTGACTCTCTTTTAACACCAAGAAATATATAAATATCGAATCAGTTTTTGTATTAGTTACAATTAACTGGATGGGGAGCTTCTGACCTTTCAAGCAATGCCAAACTATAAACCCCAGCTTCAACCACCCATGCCCGAGCTGGCTGAGGCTGCTGGGAGTTACAGTTGGACAAGCTGTTTATAAAATCCTCCCCCTTCAAAGTGAACCTTGGATTGTAAATAATCTCAACTGGAGTTGGACAATCGGTGGATTCAAATACATAATAATATTGCCATGATAAAGATCCTGTCGATGAGAAATTTCTACAGCATTCTAAACTTATTTATTTCTGCTCATTCATTTAAAAAAGTATTCTCAAGAAAATTTCAAGGGGAAGGGTGGTTTACAAAATGTTTTGTATGTTTTGATGTATTTTTTCTGTCTGTTTCAACTGTAGTTTACTGCTGTTAGCTTCATTATGCTTTAAATAACTGCTAATTCAAACACAGGAATATAGAAACTAAAGACAGCTGTATATTTTCCATCGCTACTTTTTACTGTGGATACCAATATTTATTGGGTTTTGTTTTACAACAATTGAAACCAAGTTCCAGTTCAGTGTTTCCCAATCTTGACAACAAATTAACATTGATTCCCCAAAATTCCCCTGCTAATTTTGGAGGTCTACAAAACTGGAAATCTGGTTCTTATCTAACCAGGAGTTATTTTGTTAATCATTACATTTCTTTTATTTATAAACTCTAAATTATGTGACTCCACAACATTGAGTTATATAATCATAAATATCACACTAGCAATATAAAGCCTGTGTACTTTTTTTGATATGCTAGTAGAAATGGCAAAAAAAAAACCTCTAAATTTCTAATGTTCAAAACTGTGAAATAATGTAGAATATTTGGAGCTTTTATTTATTTATTGATTGATTTGATTTGTCAATCGCTTACAAAATAGTAGGAATAAGTATAAACATCAGTAAGAATACAGGAAATAGGTACGAATAAATGGGGACAATCGGACAGTGATGGTAAGCACAATTGTGCACTTATGTATGCCCCTTAGTAGTTTATAGTAGAGATAGTAGTTTCTTAGTAGTTTCTTAGTAGATATAGTAGTTTTACTCTATTTGTGCTTTCTCCGGCAACCAAATTGATTGAGTTAGGGTTATATTTAAATATGCTATGCTAACGTAGTAAAAGAGGCAAAAAAAATATTGATCATAAGTTCATCAGAGGAATATTTATTGTGAATATATAATATTAGGATATTTTGCAATATATCTTCTATATCCACCATAACATCTTCCATTCTTCAGTAGTAATCCCTTCATTCATTGGGAGCTACATCTTATAAAAACAACACAATGTTATATTGAAATATGTAGAAATCGTCACCTATTCTTTTAAAAATGAATACATACGATATTTTTGAATTCTGGGAAGGAGCAATGTGATGCACAGAAGAAAGAGAATTCGGTAAAAGTAAAATGGATTCACAAAATAAATACTAAACATACACGAGAAATCTTTCTTAGAGCTTTTTATAAACATCAGACAAGACAGCTAATTCTATTTTCATTTTTAATAATTGTATTTAAAATATTTTAGAATTACGCAGTTAATATTAACGTATTACTGAGATTTCAGGGGAGAAACAGGGATGTTCTCATGGAAATTACCCCACTCAGGTTCTGGTGGGCAAGGGAAGAGGAGCCGAGCTGTTGGCAACCATAAGACTCTGTTGCTTTCTAGAGAGGTTAGACTGGAAATAGCTTGATTTGAGGTCTTATTTGTGTGGTTGGGCAAGTAGAATGTTCTCGTTGTTTATTGCTACCTCAGACAGCAAGATGGGTGACATATAAATCTAATAAATAAATAAATCATCCTGCTGCACATGGCAACCCTGCCAAGACTGCTCAACCTGATTGCTTAAGTAGTAATGGTGTTTCCCCATTTATTAGTCTTGGAGGACTTCAATATGATTCACCTTGAGAAGGAGTTTGGATCAACTCAGTTCACAGTAGCCATGACAGTCATGCATCAGATTCAATTTATTGTGAGCTCAATGCACATAAAACACACACACTAGACCTGTTTGTTTTGTGAAAGACAAGCTGTGATCTCAAAGTGGGGGATTGTATATTGTAATCTGCTTGTCATGGACAGATTATTCTGATTGCTATGGAATTTGGCAAAGCGCCCTACACAGTAAGGCGGATCTAGTGCATTGGCCTGTCGCATATTTCTACTAGATTTGATGGGTTTTCAGAGATCTCTTGGCAGGAAATTTGGCTGAATTTCTGGTTTGGAATAATATCCAAGGCTTTGGACTGGATTGCACTGGAGTGGCCTTCCTATGTGCTAATCTGCTCTAGGAAATGAAGTGGCGGAGAAAATGATTAGAGTACTGTAGAACAGTGATTTGTCTTGAGTCTGATTGGTATGAATTCATGCTCAAGCCCAAATAATGGGGATTTAGGTTACAAAAAAATGAATGCCAACCAGCAGCCCTATTTAAGGCAGCCCTCTCCCTTTTAGCAAAGAGTAATCAGGATTATCTGACAAGTGCTGTGAGAAACGTTCATGACATTTAGTGGACAAAGCCGCTTACATTTGGTTGGACTTAGACTCTATGGTAGTTAGAGAGTATCCATGGATTAGTTTTCTCTTGTGATATAATATGGGATTACTTTCAGTCTGTGAGACCTGAGGAAGTGGATAGGGTCCACTCTCCACTTACTTTTAATACTTATTTTATTTTTACATAAAATTGCTGGGAGAGGTGATTTGTCAATATGTAGTCTAATACCATCAATGTGTGTGGATGACTTTCAGCAATGTATCTCAGTGCTCAACAAGTGATGCAGTGGAAATGTTGACCCAGGGCATGGAGGATATCAGGATCCAGAGATCTCACCCCTTTAGACAGATCAAGAAACAGCAAAGATGACCTCTTGGCTTGGAGGTTTTGTTAATTGCCAGTGAGCCAGTGGTATGATTCAAGGTGCTGGTTATCACCTTTAAGGTGCTACATGACTCTGGTCCTGGTTATCTGAGCAAACCTCTTCTCTGGCATTTATCTACCTATCCAACCAGATCTCATTGCTCTCAATTCACCCAAGTCCCATCCCAGTGGGATTGTTATCTGATGGGAAGTTGGAGTTGTGTTTTTTCTACCGCTGCTCCCATTTTTGGAATTGCCTTGTCTTAGCGTTTAGGAAACTTGAAAAACCTTTTCTCTTCCATCTTGCATGGGAGGGGATGTTTTATATAATAGGCAGGTAGGATCTGCAGCAGGGGTGGGTTTCTACCAGTTCTGTCTACCTCTGTAGAACCGGTAGCTCTGAAGAGCAACAGACATAGAACCGGTTCTATGTCTGCTGATGTTTTTGCCCACCCAGGCTCTTACCTGATCTCTATTTCCTGATTTTTCAACTTCAGCTGCCAAATGAGGCACAGCTGCAGTTGGGCTGTTTCAAAGGCTGCGTCTCTGCACACAGCATGCTGATGATGATTTACAGGCGTGCGGCTCACAGCGTGCAGGGAAGCTCGTAAATCCCGAACCGGTAGTTAACTCTGTCGTATATCATCCCTGATCTGCAGCACATATGCATTTTATTTTTATATGTATTTGAAGGAGAGGGTTGCATTGTTTATTGTAAGCCACATATAGCTTTTGACAGCAGGCATTGTATAGATACTGAAGGCAAGTAAATAAACAAACAACTGTTACCATCATGCAAAATTGTATATTTGAAATTTATGATCACAAAATGCCACCCAAACACTCCCATTGTATTAGCTAGAAACCAAGTTTGGATATCACATAAGTGTAATGGGGAGATGTAGGGGAATATTTTTGAGTCCCTTCAGTAAAATAATAATGAATATACCAGACAACCTGTGACCTGTTGGTTATGTTGTGGTTCGCCGGCAGCCAGTGCGAATGGCAGAGGTATCAGATGGTGAGGGTGAAAGGGAACCAGTCTGGCGAGGACTTAGATGAGGGTCCTGCATCTGATGCAGGGATGAGGCCAGGACTAACAGAGAGTGGAGTGCTGCCTTCGGAGCCATTGGAGTCTGGCAGCAGCAAAGCAGAGGACCCCGGGGAGCCTGTTCCCAGTGCACGTGTGTACAGGGCTGCTAGAAGGAGAGAGCAGCAACTTGGGAGTAAGGCTGGGAGGTGATTGCCTCTCCCATAAGGGATAAAAGCCCGCCCTCGGGGATGTGCTCTTTGCAGGAAGCAAAGATGTTCATTAGATTCTGATTCCTCCTCGCAGCCCTGCAGACTCTGGTTTGTCTTTGCTGGAACTTCTGTCGGTTTATCTGCTAATTAAGTGAGCATCTGTTTCTTGGCAGCCTTTTACAGCCCCCAAAATCATGCTCTTATCTCAAACAATTGTGTTTAATGAGTCTTGGCTGGGAATTCAAATAATTCCCAGCATCACATTAGAAAAGGTTTGCTTTTACACACAGCGTGTGTTTTCTTAATTTGAACGAAGCCTGGGTCAGAACAGGTTAGCAGTTTATCTGAGCTGATCTTCAGCTTCCAAAGGAGGAGACTGTCTACCTGGCCTTTACAGGGCTAGATTGGGATTGGCCTAGCAAGCAATCTTGGTTGCTTTAGTCTCCTTGTTATGTCTGGTCCTTTGTAAATTGTTGTTCCATTTGGTTTTGAGCTGCAAATTACTTTCAGGAGCTTTTTCCTGCTGCTTCACGTTTTGAGGAAAGGTTAGGAAGAACAGAGAAGCAAGAATAGAGAAATCACTTTCAAGAGGCAGCAAAGTTATAGATAATAGAAGGAATCTAGATCCATCCATATGCTACTGCATTGAAATATGTGTTTATCATATTACAAGAGTTGCATTTGAAAACATTGGACAATGAGAAAGGTGAATCGGAAATTGATTTGATTCTAGGGTAATTTGAGCTTCACCATTTTATTTATTTATTTAGCAAATTGATTATAGCTACCCATGTCAAACTTAATGATTAATTCCTTACTACAAGTGGAATACTGCACTGTATGTAAGCTTCATAGTATTGCTTATGCAGACTTTACATAAGTAAAGTGAAAACTGATGTTTTTAGTTGATAGGTTATATACTGCTACAAACAACCTGGTTGACGCATTTGAAAAAGTTGGTTGATTTTTAATATAATTTAGCATATTATAGTATTATCAGAAAACTGAATATCTTTAACAAGATTTTTCTTTTCTGTTATAGATGTGCACTGGACCGTAAAGTGGATCAGAGCAGATTTAACAATCTTTGACCATATTTTGCACCTGCTGAAGGCAAGATTTTAACATTTTTGCTGCTACCTGTACCAAAATTGATTTAAAAAAAATCATATTTGATGATGGTTTTAAAGTGGTGATTTTAAAGTGATTAAAAAATTCTTTTTTGCAACCAGTGTAGATTTGTGAGCTCTGAAAGGAGTAAGCTGTTCATCTTTAGGTAATAGAAGCATTTGAGAGTTTAGTTTACAGTGGCTAAAAAAGTTGGGGTGAATTTTTCAGCTGCATCATCTTGATGACGAAAGAAGCCTGAATTGCTTCCACTGAGATTTTAGCTTACTCTACAATTTACCAAAATTCCATAGTGGAAATTGGAAATTAAGGCAATTTTTGCCACCTTTTTATTGTTCTCTCATTTTAGATGGAAACGACCTTGCAGCAATAAAGGCCTCTAGAGGGAGCTGAAGCTCTATAAAATGTCTCAGGTCTTGTTAGTGCTACTTAACTTCCCTTAAAAAGAAGGTAGTTAGAACAGGAATTGTTTTCAAATTCAAATAGCAAAAATGAAAATTGTGATATATTTCAGTTAATATATTCTAAGACTGTATTCACTGTTCTTCTTAGCTTAACGTCCTATGCAAAGTAGTTAACTCAAAAAGATTTGCTTTTTTTTATGTTGGTACAAGATACGAAATGCAGAACTGTGTGAAATTTTAAAAAATTGGAACAATGTTTAATCGCTTTGTTCTAATGTTAAGAGAAGTAGTTTCTTTGCTTCAGTGGTAAAGTGCAGACTGAAAAGTTTTGAGTAGAGACGTGACATTCACTTAAGGGATTTTTAATTCTTATATAAAAGGCAGCTTTTCTGCAAATTGCAGCTGTTTCTCCTGGTTGAAGAGCCATATTTTAAAGCTTCCCTAGACTAAGGTGTTGAAGCTTCTTCCCTTTTGTCTGGCTGACCTAGAAAACCAGAACAATTAACATATATGGTTAAAAATCCTGGCAAGATGTTGAAGTTTTTGGCATCGTTTCCAAACCAAGCCATAAATTATAGTAACCAGAATTCCCTCCTGGTCTCCTTCATCCTCCAGCACTTCTCCCAAATAGCAGAAAACATAGGCAGGGCATATCTTGCTCTCAGCTTTTGCTAGGCAAGGCTAAAGACAAAGCTTTTATATCTAGCTATGACTGGAAAAAAAAATCTCTACAGGAAAGAGAAGGAGTATATTGACCTTACTCAGTATTCTCAGCATGACCCTGGGCTTTCTGCTAAGCGACAACTAAATAAATACTCTGACCACCATTTATTATCTCTCACAGGAGTGAAAGATAACAATATGCAGACTTCACTCTGATGATGGTGAAAGTCTAACAGCCATCAACAATAGCACAAAATCTCAAAGAAAACTTGGGAACTTTATTGTAAAGCTCATAAACTCAGAAGGTGGGTGTGCTTTATCACACTGTAGTGCCAGGTTTCCTTTTACTATAAATCACATCTTCCTCAGCTGCTGTTTGCTTAAAAGAGATCATAAATGCATCCTGCCAACCAACCACAGCTGTTGTTAGTTTCTGCAGATTGTCACATGTAAACTCGTTTTGAATACGAAAGAGGATGTACAAATCAAACCTTAGATTTTTGCTTCCGTTTTCCTGACTGCTCGTTGGCTATTTTAGTTGAATGAAATTATTTGTATAAATAGAAATGTTCAATGGAAAATGCAGCAGCCGTTGTTTTGGCAAGTCCGGTGAGATGCATACCAAGACGATTATCTTTTTAGCAGTTGCTAGTCAACTCCTCTGCCTGAATTAACAATTTCTGATATAAATAAGAAGTAGTTCCCTGAGAAATAAATCCCATTAAGAGTGGTGTTACTAATAGCAAATACAAGAATTTCTGATCTATATTATCATTAAGTTACTTTGAGGCAGCCTGGTACAGGGTGGTTAAAAGTTTCTGAATCCTTTTGAATTTTTAATTTTTCTGCATAAATATGACCTTAAGTATGATGTGTTCTTCACACAATTCTTAAAATTATATAAAGAAAACCCAATTAAACAAATAGATAAAAATTGTATATTTAATGAGGAAAATGATCAAAGAATTACGCAGAAATTTTGAACATTCAAAAGGGTTCACAAAACGTTGAGCACTGTACCTAGGCTTATGTTTTTTGACAATTGAAGAAAAGTATATTCCTTCTCTCTTTTTTTCAGGAGTCTGTATATTATTTATATTGTAAGCCTGAGGATCAAAGTACAATATTCTGGAGAATACCTTACAACTATCATTGCAGTGGCCAAAACTAAGTTCTCAAAAATGAGAGAATCATAAATGTAACACCATCAAAAGTACAAGAAATATTTTCTGTTCGGAGAATAATGTGGAGCATCACATGTATATTATTCGACATTCAGATCTTGCACTTAAACAATAGCTTTTCTTATTTAAAAAAAAAACAAGTTTAAAACGTTGGCGTTATTCTTATTAACAAAGGCTCACAATTTCTTCCATTTCATTTTCAGCTGCAGGTTGGCTACATTTCCCATTCAGTCATGTCATACGTGTTTGTAAATGATTCTTCCCAAACAAATGTGCCTCTGCTACAGGCTTGCATTGATGGAGATTTTAACTATTCAAAAAGGCTACTGGAGAGTGGCTTCGACCCAAACATCCGGGACAACCGTGGCCGAACCGGTCTTCACTTAGCAGCAGCTCGAGGAAACGTTGATATTGCTCAGTTGTTGCACAAATTTGGGGGTGATCTTTTGGCCACGGATTACCAAGGTAACACAGCTCTTCACCTGTGTGGACATGTTGATACCATTCAATTCCTCGTCTCCAATGGACTCAAGATAGATATTTGGTAAGGTTGTCTCTCTACCGTATGCCTAAAAATCAGTCTTATCTATTAACACTTTGAATAGCTCCTGACAATATATTTCAGCTTTCTTAATCTTTATTCGTCAAAAATTCAGGAATGATGACTTTTTTGTTGTATTTTCTTTTGGGTAGCACTTATCCCTATGGTTCTTTCAGTCAGCATAGAACTTATTAGTAACTATTCTTGATAGTGTGTTCTTGTCACAAACATTCTGTATAAAATGAGCTTATATCATGTTGCACTGGAGTTATGAATAAACCAGCAATCAGTGACCATTTCCAGCACTGCTACAATTACAGTATAGCTGCCAAATATTTAATCTTCAGTTTTTTCCGGCATGGCCAATAGTGATGAGGATTGATGTTGCAGCCCGGCAACATTTTGAGGGCACTTGCGTTGGTTCCTCCAGAGCAAGTGCGTACATTGCATTGTTTTGATTCTGATGCCAACCCCTGACATGGAGATACCTCAAAATAAATGACCTCTTTTAATAACTTGAAATATATGTATATTTATTCCAATGTAAACAGAACTGGTTCAAGGCGTCCTTTCTGTTTCATTATTTTTCAGCCCTCACCCAACCAGCTCTCAGAATTTATGAATCAATCTTTCTCTGAAATGCTGTATATTCACTCTACCAGGCTCCTAGCATCTGTCATATGCCAGTTGTCCAGACAAAAGCACTTAGTGTACTGGATAAATAGCTATTTGACAAACACAATTAACAATAATCCCAGAATTGTTTGTTCTTTGAACTCTCTGTTCATGTATCCTAGTGGTTTGAAACTTAACCTTTGTTCTTAAATGATTGACGCTAAGCTTCTATTCTTTATTTTTATATTTGAGTTACAGTATTTTGCTTGGAGGTGATGACTAAGTTGGGTCAAAAGAAGGGAAACTTATGAGATTAGCATATACTTATTTGAACTTTGCAGTGGTTGTCATAATTAACTTGGGAATGACTTCTTGATCATGGAACAGAAGTTTCAAACAAGAATCAGTGCTGCAACTGTTATCATATGAAAAAAATAAAATAAATTCCTGGTGGTACTGCCTTGTTTACCATCTAAATAGCAAAAAAACAATGAAGAAAGTGGAAAGTACATATGTTAAAGCTTGAATGTGATTTTACACTTGAAATAAATTGCTTTCCTAGTTTATTTAAGTATAAATAAACCCAGTCAGTTTAGCTCTGAATATTTGTTTCCTAAAAGTTGCTTTTATTCCCCCTTTTGTGTCTGTTGTCTCAAATTCAAAGAACAAAAGTGCTTCAATAAGTAGTAAAACTAAAAAAGCCAACTATCCATCTTAGTTCTTCACTATAGCACAGGTAATCCTCAGCTAAGAGTGGCAACATCACCTGGTTGCCATTTGCAACCTCCTGCTGGCTTCCTCACTGAGTTTGCTTGTCAGAAGCCAACAAAGAAGATTGCAAATGGTGATCATCTGACCACAGAAAGTTGCAGTGTTGTAATTGCAAGCCAGGTGCTGAGTAACTGGATCGTGACCATAGAGACACTGCAATGACTGGAGCTCCAAGGATTCATCACAAGTACCAATGGTTCAGCACCAGGGCCAATTCAAATAGTTGCTGAGAGCAGTCATTAACTGAAGACTGTCTGTAGTGCTCTGTATATGTAAAAAAGTCTTCGCATTTCTATTTTAGAAATGAACACCAAAGTTTTAAGAAAGAGTAGAGTTTAGTGACTTCCTGTACAGTGACCATATGCAGTTAAAAAAATAACTTTATAAGCCATGGTGGTGCAGTGGTTAGAATGCAGTATTGCAGGTTAATTCTGCCAACTGTCAGCAGTTCGTTTTTCACTGGCTCAATGTTGACTTAGCCTTCCATCCTTCCAAGGTCAGTAAAATGAGGACCCAGATTGTTGGGGGCAATAGGCTGACTCTAAACCGCTTAGAGAGAGTTGTAAAGCACTCTGAAGTAGTATATAAGTCTAAGTGCTATTGCTATTGCCAATCAGTCCTCATATTTATGACCTTTGCAGGTTGTAAAGCAAAGGGAAACTGTAGTAAGATCATAAGTACAGTTGTGTCCCAGTTATGGTTGCTAAATAAAGAGAGGAGGCTGACTTTAAAACTGTAATAATAGGCAGAACCTTATTAGGCTGTCAAAATGGCTCCCATGTACCAACTGTAACATTATAAAATTGCCTTTTTCATGCTTCAGTGGACAAGAATGGAGGTTATGCTAATATTGCATAGGACTGTAAACATAGAGCTATTTGGTAAATTGTAATTCAAGGATCTCTTGAAAAGAAATTAGAGCTTTGGAATACCTGGAGGATTAAAAAAGAAAAAGAAATAGCTATTTATAATGTCAACTCTGAGGTTTCAGGTAAAAAGAGCTAGTTTGGTATAGTGGTTAAGGTACCAGGCTAGAAAGTGGGAGACTGTGAGTTCAATTCAGCCTTAGCCATGAAAGCCAGCTGGTTGACTTTGGGCCAGTTATTCTCTCTCAGCTGAACTCATCTCACAAGGTGGTTGTGGGGAAAATAGTGTGTTGAATATGTTGAGTTATCTGTAAAAATAATTAAGGCGGGATCAAATAAGTAAGGCAGTATCTTCCAAATATCTGCTGTTTTAAAATTCTTAAATCATAATACAGAGAAAATAAATTTCAATTTCACAAGGTCTTTTGTGACCAGTTCATGTACAAGGAATTAAGAGATTTCAGAAGAAAATTATATCATTCCAAATATTGTTGTCTTTCTAGATAGAGATTACCTGACACTATAATGTAATAATATCCTACAAAATCTAATCATTTTACACATACTCTTGACTTTTAAATCTGATGCAGTTGAAACATATTCAAGTATTTCTATCTCTAGTTAATTCTGCTCAATACAGTAACTAGATTTATTTACATGTTTGTATTATTACTAGAGATTTTCAGCTTTTCATTGAAACAAAGCAACTTCTATCATTTTGTGGGAGAGATCCAGCAATTTATCAACAGCTTGCTTTTCAAAGGACTTAATTAAATTACGTTTTATTTTAAAATCCAGAAGAATATAACATCCTTGTAACAAAGTCCAAGTAACTGTTAGATCAAAGTGCTTGACTTAAAGTATAATGCAATTTAATGCAAATTCAACCAGATTATTAACATGCGATTATTGTCTACAATTATGGCCCTATTACTTGAAGCACTTTCAGAGTTGTAGATGAAAAATAATGAGGTATGTTTCCAATAAATTAAGATAAACTGATCCCCTCCCCCATACAATTGATATGTACCATATTTTTCGCTCCGTAAGATGTACTTTCCACCCCCCAAAAGTGGGTGGAAAGATCTGTGAGTCTTATGGAGCAAATGTTGCGTCACAGACCATGAAGTGTATTATCTCAGGGGTCCCCAACAGTGGACCGGTGCCGGTCCTTTGGTGAATAGTAGCCAGGTCGCGGCAGTGGGGTCCTTTTACAGAGCTCAACCCCAACTCTTCTGTCTTTGTCATTGCCCGCCTCTTCTGTCTTTTTTCCCCAGTGCAGGAGTCAATAGGCAGAGCTGGCATATGGGAGGAGTCCTATCTGTGGTCCTTTCAGGCTCTGCCTCCTGCCCGCACTACACCGCTGCTCCATATTTGGCGCTCCATATATACAGTACTCTGATGCGGGGGCATTCTGATGGGGATGGGGATGTACTAATATAAATATAGTAGTACACCATTTGGTTCAGAATATTTTTTCCCCTTGTTTCCTCCTCTAAACCTAAGTACGTCTTATGGTCAGGTGAGTCTTATAGTGCGAAAAATATGGTATACCTTTTTCTGATAGTACCTATTCTATTGCCTTTTTTTCTCTTTTTCCACTTCACATAGCAATCATCAAGGCGCAACACCTCTTGTCCTGGCAAAACGAAGAGGGGTGAATAAAGATGTGATTCGATTGCTTGAATCGTTGGAAGAGCAAGAAGTGAAAGGGTTCAACAGAGGAGCCCACTCAAAGCTGGAAACAATGCAGACAGCTGAAAGTGAAAGGTTTGCCCTCCCTTCCCCCATTGTTTGGATTCTGTTTTACTGGTTAAACATCATTGGAAAAATTGTCTTATGTGGAGCTTATTCTGCATAGTGGAAAAGGTCAGGGTTTATTATGTGACATTTTTCTCCCAAATTTTGTAGCTGGAGATGTTTAGACTCTTCATTGGAAAGAGTTCTAAAGAAGTTGGACTGTCACATGGCCAATGAACTTCAGGAGTCAGCTCAAATTGCCTATTTGGAGTAAGTCATTGTCTTTGACTTGAAATATGACTTGGCAGTCCTTTGTACAATTAATAAATACTTACACATAGAAAACTCAACGCTGGAGAGAAGGTTCTAGTTCTTTTTTCTCCTTGAGATTATTTTCTCTTTGTGGATTGTTTGAATAGAGAATGCTCCAGTCTGCTTTCTGAAGTGGTCTAGCTCAAATGTAACTTGTGGGCTAGTTTTTTCATAGAAAAGATATGGGTTTCACAGAGCACATCACATGATTGATAAAAAATACTGTGCTATTTTAAAGGAAGCTAATGCCTTTGCAAATACATTATGAGATCTTGAGGATTAGGTAGAAGTTGTACTTACAGCTTTCTGACAGCTGCATGCTATGTAGTTAAGCATTCTTAGATAGATAGCAAAGAAAAGAGCTAGTTTCAGTATTTTAGAAAGTATTGTCCTATTATGAAATATTTTTTCTTTTTGCCTGGAAGGCCACCTCTTATTTTCTGTCTGAATTCTTGGGCCTAGAGAAATAAAAGACAGAGAATGTGGGTAGGATCAACATTTTCAAAGTTTTTTTTCCCTTAGATTTTCAGAATTGGGTTTTTTTAGGAGGGTTAAGCCTATATCAAAGCTTAAATTAATTCATTTTCTTTTCCACTGGAGATGGGAAGAAATTGTGTGACTGTTTCTTGAATGTTTTGCTGTTGAAATTCTGTAGGGCTGCATTCAGGGACGTAGGAACCACAGCGTGTAGACTGCCCACCCTTGTAGTATACTAAGCATTCTACTGCCAAATAAAATATTCAGGCAGATGATAAATCAACATTGATTTGGATGAATTCATTTTTTTTGCATTAAGAATTAACTGTGATAAAACTACTGTCTTTGTGAATGTATTTCTTTAAGCAGTCAGCATTTGTACTTACGTACAATTCCAGTTTAGGAGTTGATTCCGAGAGTTGTAAATGTAACAAATATATACATATGCATATTTTCTATTAAGCTTTTTTCTTTCTCTATTTGCCAGTTCATTACAAGGAATGTTATGTTGCTTTGTGGAATGAGTCATTATTAAGTATATCTCTTAGCCATTTCAATAAAACACAACCAGTTTCTTTTATTCTATGATAGCCAAATATTGATAGGTTGTTTTTTCTTAAGGTTTTTTCGTAATCTTTTTTCAAAATTCTCTCAACTAGAAACTGAATGTAATTTCTTTTTCCCATACAAGTAATCTTCAACTTATGACCAGATTCTCAGCCGTTGAGCGGCAGAGAGATTTGTCCACAGTACCTCCTCCAAATCTCAGGGGGAGTCCCAAGGACTCTCACCCATTTGTGTCATCCTGCATTCTTTACCCAGATCGCTGTCCATTCGACGACCCATAAATACTGCAATTAGGTATGCCTTGGAGTTGTAAGTCAGTTGTTGAGCGAAGCAGTCACATGCTGTCTCAATAATCATTTTACTCAACGACTGAGGTTCTGATCCTACTTGGGGTTGTAAGTCAAGAACTACCTGTACATAGAGGATCAAACTGTCTGCCTCCATCATATCTTCAATTCTGAGTGAATGTTTGCTTGTAAGTGGTGGGTCAGTGGTAGGAATGCAGAATTAGCCTGCAATATGCATTCTAACCACTGACCCGCCACTGAGTGCTGATTGCCAGCAGTTTGAGTCTCACCGGTTCAAGATTGACTCAGCCTTCCATCCTTCCGTAAAATGAGGACCCAGATTGTTGGGGGCAATATGCTGACTCTGTAAACCACTTAGAGAGGGCTATAAAACACAATGAAGCCGTACATATAAGTCTAATGCTAGTACTAGTGCTAATAACATATACCTAATGAAAGGCAAGCTCCCATTACCTGTCCCAGCTCCTGCCCACTTAGCAGTTCAAAAGCAAGCACATGCGAGTAGATAAAAAAGTATCACTTTCGGAGGGAAAGATAAAAGAGTTCTGTGTGCCGTGATCAGGGGTGGGATTCTACCGGTTCAGACCGGTTCTGTAGAACCACTTTTTATGATTCTGTGCAGTTCAGAGAATCGGCACAGTGTGCCCCTGGCTGGCCCCGCCCCTCTCCACCCAGTCAGTGCTTATCATACATGCCCGACATCACACGCATGCCCGACATTGCTGACTGTGTTCTCCCCCACCCAGTCACTCCTTAAGGTATTTTTTTTTTCTTGTCCTGATGATCAGCTGTGCCGGGATCCCTCTCGCTGTCTTACTGCTTCACCCAGGAGGCTTCCCTGAAGCTCAGGAGGCAAAAAGGGGGCACGGGGGTGGGGGTGTGAGGAGGTGGGTGGGTACTGCGCATTCCCCCTCTCCATTTTTTGCCTTCCAGGGCCCCAGGGAAGCCTTCTTGGAGCAAAAACACACACCCCCGGAGGCTTCCCTGAGGCCCAGGAGGCCAAAAAAAAAAAAAAAAAGGGTGCTGCAAAAAAAAACCACACCCACTCGGTCACATGGCCATGCCCACCTAGCCACGCCCACAGACCCGGTTGTTAAAAAATTTGAATCCCACCCCTGGCCTTGGTGTATAGTCCTGCAGGCCACGTGACCATGAAAAATGTCTTCAAACGATTTTGGCTCCCTCGGCTAAGAAATGGAGATGAGCACCATCCCCTAGAGCAGGGGTGTCAAACTGGCGGCCCATGGGCTGGATTGTCATGTCATGTGTAGGCCACGCCTAGCCCAGCTCTGGAAAGGAAAAAAAAACATCACGGTACGTCAGGTGATGGCAATGTGACACCGTGAGTTTGACACCCATGTCCTAGAGTCAGACACAACTGGAGAAGGGAAACCTTTACCTAATGAAAGTGTGATTTTTTTAAAAAAAATATCTGTAAAACTAAGCTAACTTTAGATTTACTGTGTAACTTACCAGTGGAAAAATATCTTATTCTGCTGAAGGAATCTAAACAATAAGGGTTTACAATTTCCCTATAAATCAGGTTATAAAGAATTTTAAGTACTTTTTGTATAGAACCTTGCCAGTCAGCAGTTCTTATATCTAAGAATCAAACAAATTCAAATTTCAGTTGAAGTTGTAATATAAAAAGAGGCCATCTTTGCCTGATACTTTTTTTTCCTATTTTTTTTCTTCCTCCTGTTGCCATCAAATTAAGTGACTTTATTTCTCTAATCCAAATAACAGCTATTTAAGCTGTGTGCCCAGCTGTTATTTTTTTTATTTCCTGTGAAGATAGTTATATTTAAACTCTGAAGGTATTTTCTGCTTTTGTACATATCCTAGGAAAAGTCTGCAACTAAAAATCAACCTCTGTATTGGTAATGTTTAAAAAAAAAGGTTTTTCTTACCAGCAGAAAGACTCAGAAATGTTTAGCCACTTCCATATGTCTTCAAAATAGCTGATATTCCAGTCCTATTACCATTTTAGTATTTGGAGGTCATTTCGGTTGCCACAGTAATACAAGTAGTTTCTGCAACTCAGTTTTCCTATTTTTTTTAAAAAAAGAGCCCACTTTGTTTTCAACAGCCACATAACCTTTCCGCTTAGATTATGTTATACCTTCATTTAACCTCCATAGTGGTTATAGATTAACTGTCTGAGTCTTAACCATTTTTTCTGTCATGCACCAATGGATACTTCTCTGTTTTATCTAAAAAAGCTCCCTCCTTATTTCTGTTCTCACAAGAATGAGACAACTGGTTCTGCAGTTACAAACAGCTTAAAAACTAAAGTAAAAAGTTTGGGAAATAGTATGTACTTTATGCATATTATCTCTTGTGATGACTCCTTCCAATGTATTTTTTTAAAAATCCTGCCTTTTATTATTTTTTATAAATAATTCAAGGCAATGAACATCCCTAATATCCTTCCTCCTTCTATTTTCCCCACAACAACAGTCTTATGAGATGAGAAAGATTGGGATGAGAGAGAGTGACTGCTTCAAGGTCACCCAGTCGAGGTGGGAGTAGAATTTATTATACTCTACTGCAGACCCATTGCTGCAACCTCAGTTAATTCCCTGGGATCCTTCCCTAATGTCCAGGTGCCTTTTTAATTTTTTTAAAAAAATAAAATATTATTTAAATAAAAGACACAAAGGTAGGGATCCTGCCAAATTGTTTAAGAAGCAATAAATATATTCCTGTGTGTATGTGTGAGTGCGCGCACGCACACACACACACAGAATATATCACTATCTCACAAAAAGTGACTCTCGCTGGCATACACATCAGAAATGCAGAGATATGTACTGGTGGAGAACCAATCAAATTTGGGCAGTTTATTCGTAGGAAAGATTCTGGATAGGAGGAGGGTATGTTCAATCCATATAATTTTTGGAAATTGTTGATTATTGGAGAGGATCTTCCCTAGCTTTTAGTTTGGGACCAGGACAGCTTTGTTAGAGACAACTTTGCCTGTCCCGATGGGCAGTTTGCAGCAGCCTTTGATATCACTTATTGCAACGTTGATCTCGCTGGATTGGGACTAATAACACTGTGCCTCAGAGCCATAATAGCATTCGTTGGGGTCTTTTCTGGTGGGAGAAACTTAGTACAGATAACTTAGTGTTAGTTCAGGATTTGGGAGATGGCATATTTTGCCCTTGGACTATTTAAAAATCTCTCGATGCTGTTGCTGAAGAAGAACAGTGAAGGCAATTAATGTAGAGATGGTTCACAATTCTTGTTTTTGCCAAAGATCATAAATGTCTGGAGACAGTTTTAGAGTAGATGAGGATGAATTAATTGAAACTTAATCCAAATAAGACAAATTGATTAACCTGTTTGGTGGTGCACCATAAACTCTGAATGGAGTTTCTTTTCCTCAGGAGACCCAAATTTGTAGCATGGGGATAAGGCTGGACTTGATGCTATTGAGAAAGCATTGATTTTTACAGTGATAAGACTCCCTTTTCTCAGCCTAGGGCTGCATAGCAGCTGGGAGTCGATCTACGGATGAAAGATTTTACTTTAGTTGCTGGGCCTTGGAAACATTCAGGCTAGAGCATTATAATACCTTCCATATGGATTTAATTTTTAAAAATGTTTGGAAGTTTCTCACTTTGCAAATTGTAGCTATCCAGATGCTTGCGGTAGCTTAGCATTCCTAACATGTCAGTCCAATATTATATTAAATGAACTGTCTGCCTTCCGCAACCAAGCCCAGTTCAAAGTGCTGGTTTTGACCATTAAAGCCTAAAGTGTATGGAGTTGGATTATTTGATGTATTACTTCTATATACATATAGGGATCTGTCAAAGCCTATGGTTGATCTCGGAGTGTGGCAAATACAATTATATGGTCGGCAATACAAGATATAGCCTGTTCTGGGATGGCTTCTCATTTATAGAAATAGGTTCTTCATGTACATGTTTTGTTCACATATATTTCTATTTTCTTTTAAATAGACCTAAAGACTCTTCTCCCCTTACTTTCTATGCATTATTAGTATTAAGAATTGGGATGTTTCTTCATTTTGGAATTAATTTTAATGAATTTGGGACTATAGCACTTTTCCCCCCCCCCCCCCTGTTTTGTAGTTATTTTGGCTGTACAAACAGCCCAGAAACTTTTAAAATAGATTAGTTATGCCTTCTTCATAAGAGGCCTATAAAGTATGTTAGCCAGCTGGGGAATTCTAGGAGTTGATGTGCACCTATCTTAAAGTTGCTAAGGTTGATGTGATCTATGTGATAAGAGCAATAAAAGTGGGTATATGTTTGGGGTTTGGGGCATGAAACAGTTTCATGAAAATTAATGTATTTCTAGTTAAATAAACTGAATTCCTTTATAGCATGTTTTACTGCTGAAAATAGCATTTATAATGCTGGCAAAGCACAGTTGCCATCTAAAGTGAAAAGAGGCTTGACGAAGCCTAGGTTTTCTAATTTTAATGGTAGCCCTATTATTACCCACCTCTTCTTCCTCTGTTTCGGGTATATAAGTAGATCAGGATTAATGTGTGGTGTCCAGATTCTGTCTTCAGGGGTCTTTTTATTTCTATTTCCACAGTGCCATGGAAAGCCACTCTCTCCTCAACCCCAACCTGCAGCAAGGGGAAGGTGTTCTGTCCAGCTTCCGAACAACCTGGCAAGAATTTGTAGAGGACCTGGGCTTTTGGCGAGTGCTGCTTTTGCTTGTAGTCATTGCTTTGTTGTCTCTTGGAATTGCATACTATGTTAGTGGGGTGCTTCCCTTTGTGGAAAACCAGCCTGAGTTGCTGCATTAAAGGCCATGTAAATTCATAGTGTCTTACTACTATTTGTAATGTCTCATTTTGTTCTTTGTTGGGCATATGTTGGTAGCTGCATGTAAGGTTTAGACACACAACGCCCCCCCCTCTCCCCGACATTGTAAAGAACCCCTTCCAAAAATAAAGGATGCATTAGTCTTAGCTACATTACTGAAAGTACTCATCAACTGTATCTAACATGTTCTTGGATTATCATTAATCTAGTCTCTGCTGATAAATGTGACAATATAAAGAAGCAATGGAAAGCTTTTCCTTGATATGCAAATGTTTATGATCAGGAGAGCAATTTGTTAGATAGAATGTCTCTAAAAATTGTTGTAGAATCAAGTCTTATACTGTGGGCCTTTAAAGGTGGTCATTTTCTACAATTACAAGGAATTTCCAGCAGAAAAACAAACTAATTTGTATTTCTTTGGTAAAGAAAACATATATCATATTTTTCAAGAAGCAACACTTGAGAATTTTTGCATAATTCCATAATTTTCACTTGAAATATTAACAGTTTTTCATTTATTTGGAACAAGACCAATATTTAGTTAATCCAAATGAGTTGGGAAATATCAATACATTGTTAGGAATTTTTCTTTCGGTTGGGGAGATTTTTTTTTACAAGTAAGCAAAAATGATGTTAATGGCTTGAAAATTTGAATAGAGGTATTGTGTAAAACTTGTGTCATGATTGTGGAAAAGGTTTATTTTGCCCTGTTTATAAAATATTGTAAGTTTTAAACTAATTTTCCAAATAATTTAATTGCAATGAACTCCATGTCCTAATCCCTTAACATATGTATTGTTGTATATGTAAAATGAGACCTGACTTAAAACTATTCTTTGAAGTAAATAATATACGTAAATATAGGATCTTTTTAATAACTTCACTAAGATTATCTAACTAAGATTGATGGTTCAGGCACTTAATGGTGCAGGAAGTAATGTCTAGTTTTTTGCTGAACTGAAAATTCTGAAAATGAATCCAGATGTGCTGGAGCATACACTGTCTCAGAGTTCTATTTATATCCAGGCAAGAGAGAAAATAATTGCTCATCTCTCTTCTTCTATATCCAAAATAAGTAATTAATAAACCACGTTTAAAATCTAAAAATTGAAGCAAGTGATTGATATGTTTACCCCACATTAAGTTTTTCATGTTCATTCTAAGGAAATATAATTTTGTGTTAAGGTGCAATCTTCTGTGTAAAATGTTCTGTAATATGTTTTGTATTTTACTTAACATTGGAGGAAACATTGGAAATGGACTATTTGTACCCCAATTTTAGAATCTTTTTTAAATGTTAACAAAATATCCTGAACACAATTCAGTCAAAGTTCTATCTTTTTAAATACGTGGATTTTCAATTTAGCATTTCTTTTTTTGAAGTTTGTAGGATCTTGTTTAAAATAACAAACAGCAAATTCAAGACTACGAACAGGAACAAATTAACTGCTCAAAAGTGAATGTAGCAGAAATAAGATATAAGCTATTAGAAGAATTATAGGCTTAGGATGTCTTTTTGTAAAGAATAAACTTCTGTGTTATATTATTTCTTTTCTGTTTTACACTGCATAACTATTAATTTAATTATTAAGTGTATTCCAAGCATGCCAAGTTATTCCAAATAAATGTGTATAAACTACATATATGTTTCTATTTATGATACAATTTAAATCAAGAAAACTCAAGAAAGCAAGTAATAAAATCTAGTTCTTCATGGTCACTTTTTTGTACAGATCCATTACAGATTTCTCATCTCTCATGCATCAAATTACAATAATTATGGTTGCTTATTAAGATTCATTTTAAGAAAACATATAGTTAAATATTAACATAGCCAATTTTATTCAGAAGGAATGCATAGCAGTTTCTGAATAATATGTATTTAACTATTTGGTCCATATAATCAAAACAAAACATAAAACAAAGATATTGGCAAATTCTAGAACTGCAGCTGATTTTTCTAATGAACCTGTTTTGGGTATTTACAATAAATTTGAAAGAATCGGCTAAAAGGAGTAGTGTTTTTGTATTTTATTTACATTTTGGAGATTTTGTAAGTCTTCAAGCTTAAGGCAAATATTAGCCAAGGGGTAGGAAGTAAATGCACAGTCGCATCTACAATCTGCTAATGAACTTTGTGACATAGTTACTAAGCTGGTGACTGTGGCTGGTGAAGTTTATTGTTGCATCAGTTGTAGAGACGATTGCTTTCATTAGGCAGCAAGGCAAGTACAAACATTTAGAGCAAGGTTTCATAAGTTGACATCACTAGATACCATAAATCAGTTGGAAAACAAAGGAGGGAAAAGTCAAAAATCAAATATTTATATTATCTTTAGGGATGTTTGTCACTTCTTTTTTGTTTTTCTTTCTAAATATTTATAAACAGTATAGATATTTTGTTGTATTTTTTTTTCTTTTGAGTATTACAAAAACAATTTGATGTACTTTGTTTTGTACGTTGAACATCAATTCTACAATCATAACTCCCCTCTATAGAGTTTATAGAGTTTGTCTTTTTTCAGAATATATTTCTGCTTTAAGTAAAAAAAAGGTTTGTCAATTAGGTAATGAAATCAAAAGGCTAAAGCTGAGTCCTGATAGCAAGAGTATTCATGAGTAATCTGGACATGTTAGATTATCCTCTTTATTAAAAGAATCAGAGGAAAAGAAGGTGAGGGAATGACTCAAGGAAACACCAATTTAAAGCAATTTCTGCATTCTAAAACAAACAGCACACTGAACAATATTTAACATCTAACTGCAAAATGTCTATGGAGATTCTCAGTCATCCAGGTCATGGTTATCCCAAAGGTGCTTTTTTTCAAGAAGCAACTGGACTTTCTGTTTTTTCTTTGAAGACGTTTCACTTCTCATCCAAGAAGCTTCTTCAGCTCTGACAGGATGGTGGGGAATGGAAGGATTTATACTCCTTGCAGTCAGCTGGTCATTTACATTCTTTTAGAGAGCCGTTAATCTCCAGGTGACCTTAATGGGATCTAACTGCAAAGTAAGGTTATCACCTCAGCTAGCCTATAGCATAGTAAAAGGATATAATTTCAGAGATTGAAAATGTCTTTATCATCTGCTTTGCCAGATCTTCTTAGGCCCTTAATCTACATCACATTTTCAAGATAGTGCTGAAGTAGGAGGATGTTTCACAATAAATTTAATTTAAACAAGAGAAAGACAAAATATCAGTATTCCCTGATTTGTTATCTGACCTGCACAACTTTTATTAAGGGAAAAACTGATGACAGACCTTTATAGTTAGTGGCGATAATTCTGTTTGAAACTAAGATGGGACCTTCAGAACTAGGATCTCCCATGGGTTATATAAGTTTCTGAGGGGCTCCTTCATTTCTCCCGCAAGAATTCAAGCCCAGCTATGTAATGCAAACCAATGTCACCATAATTGCATGGCACCTGTTTTGCAATCATTGTACTTGTTGCCAGTAAATTTCTAGATACAATTCAAATGCTAGTTCTGACTTGTAAAGCCTTATATGGTTTGATGCTAAAGTACTTACAAGATCACCTCTGCATAAAGGTGATCTGTCCAATTAATCCAGGTGAATCTCTCACTATCACCTTTTAAAGAACTTGCAAGTGGGGAAAATGAAGTGGATGCAAAGCTTTCTAACAATCTTGGTTGTGGTCTCCATATTATGGAACAATCTCCTTCTTGAGACTAGGTTGGCATCTTCATTGCTAGTCTTCTGGAAGCACATAAAGATGGACTTGTTTTAGTTCCATTGGAGATTAAATTATTACCATCACACTTACCATTTTATAGTTGGTTTCTTACTGACTTTTATATTTCTACATTGAAACTTGCCAGGAGGTATTTACTGTTGAATCTGGCAATATACGAGCACAAAGAATCAAAATATATAAAGATGGTATAGGCACCAGTTAGATTATTTGTCACATGAGTGACTTGCCATAAATCAAGTTGCTTGTTAAGCTTTTGCTTGGTGTTTAAGCAGTTGAATTCTGGTTTTTAAACTACCATTTAATCCTATGTCAAAATTAGTTTACCACAATATTTAACCCCAGTTTTGTATCACTAGTCTTCTAGTTCTGTGTTACTGCTGTAAGAAATCTCAACTAGAAGAAACAAGCTTTCAGGAGTGCTAAAATGTAATCATTACTGTATATCTCATCTTCATAGCTATGTTTTAATCACTCCAATTAAGGTATTAAATGAGTATTTGTTACTATGGTAACCAAGGAATTAAATAGCCCAGTGATATATTAGGATTTCATTTTTCCGTCCACGTAACAAACGGGTCTGTTAGTTTCAGCTGTAGTTAAAGGGTGACCTGCTTCATATTTCACACTTTTTATTATGCTGCTTCTTTTCCCTTGGATATTGTTGCCTGGCCTTTTGCCTTTGCAATACCATTTTTGGATTCCTGAGCAATAACTCAATAATTTAATTCTTTGTTTATTGCACAACAATTTCCAAGGAAGTTAGAATATAGATACTTGCTGTGGGAAGTGACTTAAATTGAAAAATAAGCAAGAGCTATTTGAATCAGAAAAAAACATTGTTTCAATACCAATGGGTATTAAAGGACAAATTTCCAAAGGAAAGAAAAATGCACATTATTTTTAAAATTGTACTTGAAAGTGAACTATGATACAATATTTCCTGGTTAGGTTATACAAAATGTAAGCACATCACATCATCCTTCCCGCTTTGGTTATGAACTTCCGGATATCTCTTCCTGTATTCCAAACATCTATATTTCATATGAAATTATAGTGATGAGTGTTTTACTTCCAGAGTTATAACATCAATTCATGTTTCTAGCCTCTATTCCCTAAATGAGTGTTTCTTAGGCTCAGCAATTTTAAGACGTGTGGGCTATTGGTTGGGGAATAATGAGAGTTGAAGTACACACATTTTAAAGTCACTGAGGCTGAAAAACACTGCCCTAAATCATAACATGATGTTCCAAAGATTTCCAGGAAAGTATTGACAAACTTTCAATTGCTTGAATTAAGAAAAGGTGAATCATGCAATTTTAAGGTATATTGGGGAGGAGGTAGGCGAAAATCATTCAAATAAATCATTTAAAAACCTGAAGTTAATTCCTGAGGACTTCATCCATGTAGTTTTCTTTATAATAGTAGGAAAATATTTTCCCCTTCCTCTTATCGGGATTTTTATAATTTCCCAGTCTAGCTTCACCAATGGAATTTCATGATTTCTATTCAAGTACTAGCCAGGTTAGTACTTAAGCTACCTAGGTACAACCAGTTGCGATATGTACAAATATATTCATTAAGAAAGATTTAATCTGAATTCAGCCTCATGGGACTTATTTCCATGGAACTAGAAAAATTTAGTTTAAATTATTTTAGTAACAATCTTCAAGTTATATCAATGGATTCATGCCATCTTGCTAATTCACTGGGTTCATTCATCACCTTTGTTTACAGTGTTTAGTGAAAAAATCAAAACCAGATGAACTTAAGTCAATGGAATGGTAGCTGAATTTTACATGAGATTCTAAACCAAAATCAAACCAATTATGGCTTACTGTATTGTATGGACCAGGCTATTGTATCTGGATTTAATTTAGTGAATTGTGAAATAAAACTACCAGTATTTCCCCCAAAATAAGACCCTGTCTTATAATTTTTTTCCACAAAAAAAGGCACCAGGTCTTATTTTCGGGGAATGTCATCCGCTGATTAACCCCATATGTGTGTCACCCCCCGCCTCCTTTACACTGTCAGAGACTTTCAGTAACTTCTTTGGGAGGGCTTTCGTGAAGGCCTCTGCAGCTGATAACAGAGCTCCAGATCGATCCGGAGTTTTGTTATCAGCTACAGAGGCCTTCAGGAAAGCCTTGCCACCCTGGCCGGCTGCAAAAGAAATAGGCCAGCAAGGCAGGTGTTGGGTGTGCGAGGCCTGACTACAACTGTCCAAAGGTAAGAAGTAGGGCAGCTCCCCCCCCCCCATCCCCACTGTAGCTTAATTTTTACCCCTGCACTCGAGTGGACAGGATCTTAATTAGGGCTTATTTGGGGATAGGGTTTATATTGGGCACGTGTAAAAATCAAGCTAGGACTTACTTTCAGGGTAGGTCATATTTTTGGGAAAACGGTAATTGTTATTTATTCAACAACCTATTGTTAATTTATGTTAATATGACACATGGAATATAGCATACATGTTACAAATGAAATGAGTTAACATGCATAACATGATATTAGCCATTCAAAACATTCCTAATATTACATGGATACACAGACAAAAGGCACACACACAAACATACATTTGCTATCAGGTTTAAAAAACCCATTACTTCATGGAAGGTTTTTTTTTAAAAAAATATTTCTTTTTAATCATTTAGTTCAACTAACACATCTAAATTTTCTTTTGGAATTGGTTGAATAAATTAGCATATTTTGGTTGGATTATTGAACTCTCAGCTATAAGAACATAAAACATATTGTTGAATCTGCATGTTTATTCAGGAGCAACTCTCTGCATCCAAAGCAGTTT